GGAAAGGTGGAAGAAAAGAGAAGAAAAGGACAATCAACAGCAGGAGGATAGACTCAATTACAGTGGTGATAAATGCAAAAATGGTGGACTTCAAAAACGAGTTAGGAATAAACTGCCATGTTATATGGTTGCTAAGAGTTGATAACTTGATGGCACACAATCAGAAATCAGATATTTAGTACTTTCCCACATCTGTCCCATTAAGAATTGCAACTTTATAAACAATTACTTGGCCGTAACCAAGGATTTTAGGACTCAGCAATTGTTCTGGGACACTAAACCATAAGACATGGTTTATAAAGTCAAAATAATGGAGCTCACCCATAATAGGCCCCTTCTGTGTCTCAGTATGATGTGTGAACTGAATCACTGCCCCTTTATCATTTCTTGTTGAGGAATAATATTGTATGATTTCTCTTGATAAGACTTGATTCCAGGTTATCAATATCCTGCTTTAAACGCGATATCTACAATTGTTTCAAATCATGGTGGCACTTAGGTTCATATACTACTTTAAGTCTTGTTTTATTGGACAAATCACAGCAATTGCTTTACAAATATGTCATAAACGGCAGTCAGCAAATTACAATATCTCATTCATACACTCTATAAACTACATTAAAACTTAGTGCAAGTGAGCTGATGCTCTTCCCTGTTATCTGCTAATTTTATGGATGTCTTTGCAAAAAAAAGGCAAAAATAAATCCAGTAAAAAAAACAATCACTGATTTTTCCTCACATTCCACCTTGGAGGATCTGATGCATACGGAAGGAAGCCAATTAACAAGGAGAAGGGAGCCACATTCTGTATTGTATATTAAAGTTTATTGAATTACCACGTAAGAATTTTGCTCTGTCATAAAAGTCATCTGGAATCTAAGCTGATTATTTACAGACAAAACTTCTCATTTCATGATAAAAATCCCTACTTTGCTCAGAGCAGTATCTACAATAACATTATACTATGGAACAACAACAATCTTAAGGAAAATCAGGCTGGGGTTGTCCATCAAGGTTTTCAGATTAATAATGATCTAATCCTCCAATCAGTTAAGAGAGCAGATTTGTAGGGGTGAGTAGGAAGGAGCTGAATCAGAATGCGAAAGAAAGAAAGAAAGAAAGAAAGAAAGAAAGAAAGAAAGAAAGAAAGAAAGAAAGAAAGAAAGAAAGAAAGAAA